GTTCGACATACAGAGGCAGATCACAGTTCCAGACCAAGCAGTCCTTTCGAGACGCAGGGAGCCATTCCTTTAAGCGAGGCAAGTGATCTTGCAGCCTCACCTCCCATAGGAGGCCGGCTGGCCCTCTATTCCAGCATTTGGGCGGCCACCACTACGGATGCATGGGTGTTAGCCACCGTCACCCAAGGTCTGATACTAGAATTTTGTTCCCATCCACCTGACAGATTCCGCTCTTGCCCTATTCCAACAAGCAGGACCAGAGCTGATCTTATGTCAGAAGCAATAGCTTACTTATTGCAAATACAAGCAATTGAACCAGTACCACAAGACCAAGAAGGACGAGGGTTTTACTCAAACCTATTCATCATTTCCAAGACTTCGGGGGGCTGGATGGCGATCTTAGACTTAAAGGGTCTAAACCTTTACTTGAGGTATAAGAAATTTAAGATGCAATCACTTCAATCAATCCTGGTTAGCATCAGGCAAGGTGACTTTCTTACCTCGATAGACCTGACTGAGGCATATTTGCACATCCCCATTTTTCCTGGACACCGCAAATTCCTCAGATTCAGTTATGCCTGACGCCACTACCAGTACAGAGCCCTTCCATTTGGCCTCTCATCTGCACCGAGAGTATTTACAAAGGTACTGGCAGTGCTCGCAGCCCACCTTAGACAAATTCCCATCAGAGTTCAATGCTATTTAGATGACATTCTAATTCAGTCATCATCATTACAAAGTGCTCAAGCAGACCTCGCCCTAGCCATCAGGGTTTTTCAGGAGCACAGTTTTTCTGTTAATTTCCAGAAAAGTCATACCATACCAACAACTCGGCTCCTCCATTTGGGCGCAGTTATAGACACAGACATCTGTATGGTCTACCTATCTCAGGACCGACGGAACTCTATTCAGACTCTTGTACGTCGGATCCGAAGGGACAGAGTAGTCACATTGGCCTCCCTTTCACAGCTATTAGGGAAGATGGTGTCCTGCGTGCAAATTGTGCCATGGGTACGTCTCCATGCCAGAGAATTATAGTGGCTTCTCCTTCCATTTCAGAGACTTCATACCAGCACATCCCACCAGAAGGTCCGAGTTCCACGGTCGGTGTTGAACGCCCTTCGTTGGTGGGACTCTCCGGCACTGTCACAGGGAGCAGAATTCAAAGAACCAGACAGGACCACCATCACCACAGATGCAAGCCTATTTGGGTGGGGGACACACCTCCACACACACTGGGCCCAGGGTCAGTGGTCCAGGCAGGATTTAAAGAACAACATAAACTGGCTGGAACTAAGAGCCATACACATGGCCCTAAAGAGATTCAGCAGCTTAGTACAGGGCCAGCACGTCCTGGTCTTAACCGACAACATCACAGCCAAGGCCCATGTCAACAGACAGGGGGGAACAAGGTCCAAGCCTCTCATGCAGGAGGCCAGATTGCTGGGGTCTTGGGCGGAACTGAATCTTGCCTCCATCAGGGCGGAGCACATATCTGGAGTGGCCAACCAGCAGGCGGACTCACTGAGCAGAGCCACCGTGGACCATTCCGAATGGCAGCTGGATCCGAAGATCTTCAGAGAGATCGTGGACAGGTTTGGTTCCCCAACCTTAGACCTTTTTGCCTCCCCAGCCAACTCACAGCTTCCCAGATTCCTTTCCAGGTTCCCGTCTCCATCAGCGGAAGGAACAGATGCACTCTGCAGTCCCTGGCCCAGGGAACTGCTCTATGCCTTTCCTCCCCTACCCCTTCTACCTGCCACGATCAGGAAGATTCTTCGCGAACAAGCAGAGGTCCTCCTGGTCACCCCGCATTGGCCGAGACGATCTTGGTTCGCTGACCTGATGGAGCTCTCCGCATCCCCTCCATGGAGGATTCCAGCCAATCGGATCTCCCTCATTCAGGGGGAGCTACGTCATCCGGACCCTCAATGGCTCCAGTTAACCGTCTGGCACTTGAGAGGCAGGCCTTAGGCCTAGACTCATATTCGTCAAGGGTCATAGCCATAATCCAGCAATCCAGGCGACCCTCGACGAATAGAATATACGATGCCACGTGGAAAAGCTTCTGTAATTGGTGTTTAGTTCGTAAAATTGACCCCTTGCAGGCTCCAGTGCCAGTCATATTGGAGTTCTTGATGGATGGTCTGGACAAAGGGCTTTCCACAAGCACCATCCATAGGCAGGTAGCAGCACTCGCCACTGTTATTTCCTGTGGCAATGTATCCTTAACACAGCACCCTATGATACGCTCCTTCCTAAAAGGAGCTAACAATGCCAGACCACCAACTGTACATAGATACCCCTCCTGGGACCTTCATCAGGTTCTACAGGCTCTTGTTTCACCACCCTTTGAGCCTATTGACACTTGTTTGCTCAAACAATTATCAATGAAGGTGGCATTTCTGGTTGCTGTAACTTCAGCCAGAAGGATCTCTGAGCTGGCTGCCCTGTCAGTGAGGAAGGACCTGTGTATTTTCCATAAGGACAGGGTAACCCTCAGGTTAGATCCCTCCTTCATGCCCAAGGTTAACTCCTTGTATCATAGATCTCAGGACATAGTTTTGCCGGACTTCTGTCCGAACCCATCTAATGACATAGAGGTTCAGTGGAACAGATTGGATGTGCGCAGGGCCTTATATTGCTATATACAGAGAACCTCATCCTCCCGCAAGACTGAGACTCTGTTTGTGTCATTTCACCCTTCGTCATTAGGACAGAAGGTTTCCTCACCCACTATAGGCAGGTGGATTAGAGCTTGTATTTCTCTGGCATACCAGACTCAGTCACTACAAGCTCCCAGGCATATCACGGCCCATTCCACCCGGGGCGCAGCTACTACAGCAGCCTGGTCTACCCAGGCCTCCATAGAGGAAGTTTGTAGAGCAGCAACATGGGCATCGCCCTCCTCCTTTGTCCGTCACTACAAGATGGATATATATGCATCTTCTACGGCTTCATTTGGCCGCAGTGGCATTAACATTGGATGGGACCCAGGCCCAATCTAATTCCCCACCCTAGGGACACAGGACTTTGGTATGTCCCATCCGTGGGTTCTCCATCCAATCATGCTGGAGAAAGGGGCGTTGTCTCACCTGAACGCCTTTTCTCAGCATGATGATGGAGAATCCACTCCCTCCCATTAGGTCAGTTGGCCTGGTTCCCATTTGTTCAGACGCGTCGGACTAAAGTCTGAGTATCGCCTTAGCCTAAAACTGGGGTGCAGTTGGCACAGAGGGGGCGGTACTAAATTTCAGACTTAGTCTAATTGAAGCAGATAGATTAAGACAACCCCATCCGTGGATTCTCCATCATCATGCTGAGAAAAGGCGTTTAGGTAAGACAACGCCCCTTTCTCTGAGCAAAGAAATCAATTCAGCCATCTCAGCATGCTCCATCATCTTCACCAACCATTCCTCCATTGCTGGTAACACTGAATCTTTCCATCATTGTGCATACAATAATCTAACAATATTAGTGGGCCTTATTCAAGATGACAATGAGGGTGTTTACCGCAAGGAGGTTGACGGTTTGGTGAACTGGTGTAAGAAAAACAACCTAGTTTTAAATACTGGAAAAACCAAATAAATCATTGTCGATTTCAGAAAAGGCAGGCACAGCCACACTCCTGTGTACATTAATGATTCACCTGTGGAGATGGTTACCAGCATCAAATTCCTGGGTGTGCAGCTAACAAGTAGGCTTACTTGGTTGTTCAACAGAGAGACATTGGTGAAACGGGCACAGCAGCACCTGCATTTTCTGCATCGCATGAGAAAAGCACATCTTCCTTCCTCTATCCTTACCACTTTCTACAGAGGGACGATCGAGAGCATCCTATCATACAGCATCAAAGTCTGGTTTAGAAGCATCATTGCTTCAGACAGGAAGGCAGTGCAGAGAGTGGTGAGGATGGCTGAAAAGATCATTGGCAGTTCCCTGCCTCCCATCCAGGACATATCACCTAAGTGTTGCTTTAGCAGGGTCTGCAAGATTGTCTGGGACACTATGCATCCTCTTTATATCCTGTTTTCCTTGTTACCTTCTGGGAGGAGGCTCCATGGTATCCGAAGCAGAACATCCAGATTCAGTCACATACAGTTCCATACAGTTCCATACAGTATTAACCTTGTGAACTCTAAAACTTCCTCCTTTCATTATGTATTCATAATGATTAATGTAGCGATTAATATTTATATGTTACTTATATGCAAGAGTGTAGGTCTATACATATGTTGCATATCATATGTTTTTAAATGTGTTTTATGTATGTTTACACTTTGAGAGCAAGCAACTAAATTTCATTTTTAATGTGTGCCGTTGTGCCCACAGGGAAAAAAAATGACAATAAAGGTTATCATCATCAACTATATATAAAGCCAAAGTTCCATAACTTTTCATATCCATTTTGTCTATCAATGCCAAAAGAAAAACCTCTGGTTTCAATTTACTTACATACTTACTTACTTACTTATAAATTTTATTGGCCACTCATCTTACCACAAGATAATTCTGATTAATTGTATATTAATCTTTAAATCTTCTGAATCAATATATGTATTTGAATCCAAATCGTTCTAGCTTTTTTACACATCCACCAAACATGATGAAACAGCCCTTCTCTTGCTGTTCATATTTTGAACATAAATTTGAAATGTGTTTATACATTTTAGATGAAACTACAGTTTTCCATACAGCTGCATATCACATATAAGCATAATAGGCTCATAGCCAACTAAAAGCTCAATTAAATTTGGAGATGCAGAGAAAATGTAAAACATCTACAGGGCAAAAGGGGGGGGGGGAATCACTTAATTCACTTCCAGCTGTTTGCTTTCACTTTTTCCCACTAGATGTCAGGAGTATTCCAATGCAGCCACGCACATAACATTACAGTATCTCTTAAGCACAAAGCTGAGTTCCAAAGGCTGTGCTTTAAATACTAAACAATTGAACAGAAGCTCATTATCTTCATATAGACGGCTGGCTGTGCCGTAGAAGCCCCTGGAAATGCATCCCCATGGGGCAACTTCAAAGGGCATCCAAGACAGCAGATCATGTGTCTCTCTGAAACCAGATGCTAAGGCAGAGACCCTTTCTATCAAAATGACAAATATTGCTGCTCTGCTTAGACAACTACCAGGTACAGCTATTTTCTGGCATTTATTACTTGGTTTGAGATTGTGGCTTCCTGCATTACAGCATTAGAGGTCAAGATAAATCCACAATCCCAATGGTTATGTGCAGTTGTTCCAAAATTAGAGCAGAGCCAAAAGGAGGTGGGTATAGCTTTGGCCAATATGCTTCTCAAAGCTTCTGGTTGCCATAGTGGTGGATAAGTTGTTCCTATTGATGGGCCAGCAAGACTTTTCTCATAATGATCACAATATCTGGGCTCTGCTCAGAGACTCATGTCTGGGTCGTAGAATTTGTAGGGAGGGAAGTTTCATCAATGGTTTTACTAGTTTCAGTCTCTAGGAGTAGAGCACAATCATGAAATACCACTTTTTAGGTTATTGGAGAATCAGTACAGTTTAAAATCTCCCTGTGATCACCCTAAAATGGTAAACCCAGTATCTTTATACTGATAGTCTTTCTTGTCTTCTTTTGTTTGGCATAATCATATTTTAGGGACTTTATTATACTCTCTCTCTCGTTTGCTCAAATTATCAGTGGTTTGTATAACTAAAAGTTTTTAGAGGCTGAACTCTGCACTTATTTACAGATAAATTAGTTTTCTAAAAGGCCCATCAATGTTTCTCTTTAATGTCTACTAATTGCCTCTTCTTTCTTCACGTTACTACTCTGCCTTTGTGTTATCATTTTCCTTCTCTCCTCTTCACTTCCTGGTTGGATGTCCTTATAAGGAATTGTGCAGTTAACCCTTTGCTTGCATTTTAATAAAGCAACACTTTACTATTTCATCACAAAGATGATTTCCAGTAGGCTCTAACGAAAAGGGGGAGAGACAAATAATATTTTGCCCTGTTCTAATTCCTAAGAATGTTGCAAGATTATTTTCAACTTTTCAACTCTACAGATAACTTCCAAGTACTTTCTCATCTGTTTCTTTAATTAATTATCATGAATGAATGGGCTAACAGGACAATCTCCCAAATTAAACAGTACTGAAGAGGGTGAATTAGGGACTTACAATGGGGAAAAGGATGAAGGAGAGTAAGTGTCCTGATCCAAATTTTCCTTACCAATTTTAATAGCTATTTTAGTGAAAGCAAAAGACATTGGAGATATGTTCATGTATCTGACATTATGCCTAATCTGGCCAGTTCATGAGACACAATGAGTTTTATTGGATAAAAGTATACACTACTTAAAGGAGATATCATATTACTTCACCCTTAGTCTTAATCATTGTGATTAACATAACAATGAGGTTATGAAATTGATGGCCACCAATTTAAGTGGCAAAATGATAAGGCTGCCATTCATGGCACTGTGGAAAATATAGAAATATCAATGTTGCAGTAAAACAACTTTATGGTAGAAGGCAGTTAAGCATGACAGCATCTCTTCTCAACTTATAATATTTTTATACCTCTCTATTATTTAAATGTTCAGGAAATACGAGAAACCCGGACAAATCACATTTACAGCCTTTTCTCACTTCAACCTAACCATGGCATAACCATGATTTGGCAACACCTTTTTCCTGACACTGCTTTCATGTCAATCCCTACCCATGAGTGAGACATCCTTACCTATCAAAGTAGGGTTTTCTCCTAGGCCAGCATCATTCAAAGATAGCTGCCAGATGTATAAAATCTGTTAGGCTTTGTCAGTCTTGAAGGCAACTCAAGTAATTGCAGTGACTTGAAACAAAGGCAAGAGAGGGATCAGCAGGGAGGAGGCAAGTTTATGCTAGTTTAAGGATTTATCCCCAGCAGTGGAGAGAGTCACTGCTAGGCAGTTCCTTAAGGCTTGAAACTGGGAATTATTCTCTGGAGTGAGCTGTTAGAAAGGATTCTGGAAATATTCAAAACATGTATTTTTAAAATGTTTTGAGCACAATGGTTCCCTGGAATGGAAGGAGCACTGTTTTCCCATCGCGTACATTTATGTTTCTCTCCTTGTTTTATATCTAGTTCCTAATTCTTCCTATGAACAATCAAAACAGTAATCAAGAAAAACAAAAATTAGTCTAAGTATAACGTCTATATTTCACATTTGTCTAGATAATCTTGGAAGCTGCAAAGCAACTTTTTATTGGGGCAGGGAGGGAATAGGCATAGTTTTTGGGCTGTATTTCAAAATTATTCAGCTTGACCAATTGGGGGGGAAACAGGTTCTACTCATTAAAGGTCCCAAATTATTGCAAAACTATAGTTTTAGCAAAGACTACTGTACCTGCAACTTTTTAAAGCAATTCTGTATTTTCCTGAAGTCACATGCCAATCATAGAGAACAGTCACACAGTCCTGGGAAAAGGTGATGCTTTTTTACAGAGTTGTACCTTTTAAGAAGTTGTTTAAATACATGAAATACTGGTAAGAGTTATAGTTCAGCAGCATCTTCACCATCCCATATCGTCTACTCTTATACCATATATATATATACTATAATTATGTTTTTGCTTTGTTCCTTTTTGTTGTTGTTGCTGGGGGGGGCGGTGGTTAACCCAAGTGTGGAAATAGGAAAAAGTTCTGTGTTTATTTTACTGCAGAGATGCTGTGCATGTAGAGATGCAGCAAAAAGTCAAAAAGTTTTGATCAGAGAACTCTGGAGGAAAGGAAGAACGTGTTAGTCTATATCCAAATGATTCTTTCAGAATCAGCCTTTGCAGTTCTGTTGTGTTTTTGCTGATGCTCCTTCCTTTGACTAACCTGACATCACAATCTGCCTCTGCTTTCCCGTTGCATGCAGAATGGTCTGCTTGCTAAAGGACAACAACGTGTATTGCAGTTTATACCCTCGCTGGAAGTTCAGCAAGGAAATGGTTAAGGCATGCTGATGGCCACTAAGCGAGTGAGCTCATCTGAGCTGGAAAAGGCTCCAAGAATTCTGAGCCACTCAGAGCACATAATATCAGAAGTGGGGGATATCTGAAGCTGGAAGCAAAGCCACTTAGCGAATTGCAACATCCACCTAGGATACATTCCATGCATATTCCGGACTGCAAGCCACCAGTTCTGTAAGTAGAAATACTTGATATTCTAACTGGGTGGCTGGTAGCTTTGTGATAGATAGAAAGGGATCACCGTGAAACACAGAGCTATTAATTAAATCAGTCTCTCGGAGGAACTGAACATCCCAAACACCCAAAGAATGGATCTTAACTGATTTGTTTTTCTTTTGTTCTAAGCTATTTAATCAAATTGAAATTAACGTAACATTTGCTTCCTTGCCTGAGCTGAAATATGCTGGGAATCAGTGCAGAGTAAACAGGATTTCTGTTTCAGTTCCACCCATATTCAGCAGTTAAACTGCAAATACAATTCAGAAGCTTCAGTGACAGGCCAAACTTTTGTGTGGTGCTTCTGCTCAAGTCAACTGGCAAATCAAGATTCCAAAATAATAACGTGGGAGTTTCCCAATGAAAGGCAGGCATTCTGTCTTCTTGAAAGGAACCAGGGAAAACAAGCTGTTAATTATGCAGTCCAGGGATGGGCAGACTTAGCCTTTGTTAGATCTAGTCGGGTTTTTTTAATCTTACTAGAATCCAGACATCCATCAACTAAAATCTGGTGCAAAAATCTGGACTTGAAATGAAAATATTGTGAAGCGAAGATGTGTTTCAAATGCTGGAATTTAACACACAGTCTTTTTTCACGAGATTCTACTTTGTTACTATGAGTTTCCTTCATTTGAGCAATGCCACTTTTGCAAGGGGAAGTCATTTTGGTTAAACATATGGCATCGGGCATTCTCACTAATGTACTACAAATTATCCAGAAATCTATTAGTTGCAATCTATTCACCTCATGTGTAATCTGTCCTAGTGGCACAGAAGCTTAAGTATAGGATTATGTGAAGACAGCGTGGGTCAATGACAACCCTCACAACAATCTTCAGATGCAAATTGCAAAGGCTATGACTGTTGAAATATGTTTACACTCCCCAAATTGGGAGCCTTCCAAGTAAACCATCAGAGAGACTATTTCTATTATCTTCAAAGAAGGGCTGTGTGGTCTGGATAATTCCACCTGATTCCTAGTTCAAACATCACAATTCAGATAGGGACTAATTAAGATTAGTCCAAGTAACCCAATCACTATCTTGGCAGGAGGACTATAGCTTCAACACTCCCTCTGTATGTTATCTTCTGAATCATTCAGGCCTTGCTCAAATATATGGATAATATTTCATCTCTTTCTTACTAGTGTTGGCCAGAGGTCCTGTATTGTATTGTCCTTTCTATGGTTGAACAGCGTTGTTGCTTTCCTCACAGACTAAGATCTTGAGACTATGTGGAACAAGAAAAATGTGTGTGCATGTTTGGCCTCAAATTTATTAGAATTTGCCAGCGCTCTCTGTGTTCTGTTTTCTACTAAAGCAACATAAAAGGAAAATCTATGGAGGGTACTAGAAGGGTTTGTACTTGGTTTCTGGACTCCCAAAAAATTATGAACAAATTAGCTCTGGTACATTTACCTAAGCAGCCAATAGTTTTTCCCCTCCAACAGGAACAGGCTAGCATTAAAAATTGAAAGTTTGATGACCAAAATCAAGGGATCAAATCTTCTAAGTTATTGATTGAGCCAAACAAACCACCAGAAGAATGTTGAGGTGGTATGACATTCACATCCTGCAAAAGATTTTTGGAAAGGTAAGAACACAAAGGAAACTGCTTTCAATTTCCTTTAGTTTCCAATCAAGGTTATAAACCACTTCCCCCACATAATACAGTAGCTGCTAAATTGAGACAGATTCCAATTCCTGTGCCTAGCCTTACCTGGCTATTCTGAGGAAGCAGAACATCTTGTACCTCTGATTTCAGAGCTTTCAAGCAAGATATTCAGAGTCATTGTACTGGGGAAAACCTTGCAAATATTTGAAGAATCTCTATAAATCCACAGAGAGCCCTGAATAATAAAACATTTGTAGATTTCTAATATTTAAATCTTTCATAAGTAACATCCTTAAATTCACAAATCCGCATATGTTCCCCAAATTTCTCAATTTATTTTATTTATTGATCACATTTCTATAACACCCATCTCACCTAAATAACTCTCAGTTGGACAATTGAGACAAATTGCATCTCAATAAGATGTATCTAGGCATTCTTTCTTCCATAAAATTGTCCTGAGCATAAAATCAACTAAAGAGGCAGTAAATAATATTTTCTAGAATGTAACTTGAAGAAAAGGTAAAACAGAGATTTGAAATACCGTTGAAAGTAGTATCTTTCCTTAATTGACATACTCCTGTGTTCTTCATATCTAACTTGTATTTAATGCAAGGATAAAGAACCAATACTTTATCTTTTCTGTTCCAATCCACAGAAACATTCCTTTCAAACTGAGGAATTTTAAAATATGCTGACAATGCTACACTTCATTAGCTCTTAACTTATGGGATAGTTGTTCTACCAATACATACAAAATTATTTATATAACTTTAGTATTGAACAACTAAAAGTATGAGTTGTAGCACAGTATAGTATCTAATGGCACAGTATAGTATCCCATGGCCAGTGAAAGGCAGCAGGATTATCCATAGGTTTTCTGCCCCACCTGACTTAAATTAATTCAGCTTCTTTAATTTTTTAAAAATAGGAAATCAGCAAGCTCATATGCAAGCAGCCAATTTTTAATATCATCTTGATTTAGAAAAGGCATTGCCGGTCCCCTTAGGCCTATATACATTTTTAGGAAATAGCAACTGGTTGTACTGCAATTCATTGCTTTGTTTGGAAGTATGACTATTTGCTTTGAAAAATAACAAGTAAACTCAGATAATCAAGAGCATCTTAGAAGGCTAGAGGAGATAGAAAGGAACAACCTCATGTGCTTGCCATTTCATAATGAAATATTTTATGATTGTCCATGCAAGGTTCATTGTAAGCAATTATTTCCAGTGAGACCACCTGCTATGTGATCTCAGAACTCCATTTCTACTGCAGATAACCAGAGGTCAACTGACTTTGCTTTGACAGCTGCAAAATGTTGTATCAGACTACACATTTGAGCATGCCAAAGTACCATGGTTGGTCTGTTATTTTGGGTATTTCTCTATGTGGTGTGAGGTAATGTACTGCAAGTACAGTGTATTAGCTTGGCTAAAAAACACAGAACTTCGTTTTGAGATTCAGTGCAAAGTTTTTTTCAAAAAAAATCCCAAACACAGATTGTCCACTTTAGTCAGAATCTGAAGTGAAAGGTAGTCAGAAGGGAGCTTGGTTCATGATATGACCTCAGAAATATATAAATACGGGTAGTCCTCAACTTACAATTGCAACCGAGCCCAAAATATCTGTCGCTGAACAAGACAGTTATGTGAATTTTGCTCCATTTTTACAATCTTCCTTGCCACATTTGTTAAGTGAATCACTGCAGTTGCTAAATTAGTAACACAGTGAATTTGGCTTCCCGCTGACTTTGCTTGTCAAAAGGTTGCAAAAGATGATCACATGACTTCAGCACACTGCAATAGGAGCCGATTGCCAAGCATCTGAATTTTGATCATGTGACCATGGGGATGCTGCAATGGTCATGAACTCTGAAAAATGGTCATAGGTCGCTTTTTTCAATTGCTTTTGTAACTTTGAATGGTCACTAAACAGATGGCTGTAACTCAAGGGCTACCTGTAGCTGCTGTTTTCTATAAACTGAGACTAAATTGGCAAGGATCTCTATATGATGGGATCAAGACTTCCAAACTTTACCAAAATCTATGCAGGCATTTTTTTTTTTCAGCTAAGCTCCATTTGAGAGTGGAGGAAAGTGAATGAGGAAATCTGTAACTTTATTGTTTATGGATGAAATTTGTTGTCATTTGCAGCCCTAATAGTCTGTGCGGGGATAAATATCCATTTCAATTACAGTACAGATTGATATATTGAAGACTGCTGTGCAAAGCAATGGGTTAGCTACAAAGAATGAATGTAGTAGAGCTGTTTTTGGATGGTTTAGCACATATATACATGCATATACATGAAAACCGTAGGTATAAATGATTTATTTGGAGGAAATGGTAAATAAATTCCATTATTTATAAGGCATAATATAGTAGGCACAATATAGGCTAAAATTATAAGTGAATTACCATAAATTAGACACAGCAAGCAATATACAATATAAGCAACTCCACAGTCCCATGTATCTCACTTCATATTGAATCAGAACCTTCAAAAGCCTTGACAAATCTTTGACAACTTTCCTTGATAAATATTATTGACCTACCGAAGTCATCCCAAGTTTCTGTTAAAACATTTCATTATTTATATGTCATGAATTGTCACTGCTGTAGCTTATAAAACCATGTTAATTATATGATGCTTGAATATGTTTTCCCGGAGGAAGAGGAGGAGCTAATAAACCTCTGGGCATGAGAGTCTGGAGGTTAATGGAGCCTGTGAAATAGATATGTCATCTGTCTTTGGTCTATCTATTCTGCAGCTGCCATTATGTATTTTATATTATGGTCCATTTGTACACAAAAGTGCCATTTGTATGTTTGTTTATCAATCAGATTTACATAGCTATCCAGCTCACCAGAAGTGACTCTAGGTGGTGTACAACAATATATGTAGATTAAATAAATAGTGATCCGTTGAGGTCTTCTGAGAAGACTAAATGAAAAAATGAATTAATTCCATTAAATTGTTTGCTGCCTGAATTAAATGCCCTCCATGCCCATGTCATGAGGATTAAACTCCCTGCTATAGATGAACCTGAACAGGGTTATAATCAGAATAGCACAACATAATAAAAGCATTTGCTAAACATGATATCAGCAAAGCACTATGAAGACCTATGTATGGATCATAAATAAAACACCAAGCACCTTCATCTCTGGGTCAGATGTCTATGGAGATTCTCAATCATCCCGGTCATGGTTGTCCTAAAGGTGCTTTTTCAAAAGACAACTGGACTTTCTTTGTTTTTCCTTGAAGACATTTTGCTTCTCATCCAAGAAGCTTCTTCAGTTCAGACTGAATGGTGGAGAATGGAAGAATTTATATTCTACAAGGAATATAAATTCTTTCATTCTACACCATTCAATCATAATTGAAAAAGCTTCTTGGATGAGAAGCAAAATGTCTTCAAGGAAAAACAAAGAAAGTCCAGTTGTCTTTTGAAGAAGCATCTTTGGGACTCAGTAAGACCTAATTTGTCCATCAGAAGATTTAGACATAGGCATCCATTCCTAACCACAAAGTCAAAATATAACATGTGTATTATCATAAGCTCTGCCCTCATGACACCAAACACAAATACGTGAGGCTGTGTTTGTGTACTGATGTTGTGATACCCATTTTATTATTTACCTCTTCTTGTCCCTTCCTATGGATGCCCATGTTTTGGGGAACAGACTTCAACCTTTTACCAATTTTAGAACCATTTCACAATATAAAGCCCACAAGGATTAATGTTAATTTTTATGTTGCTTTGGTATGCTGGTTTGAACATATCTGCCTGAAAGAAAGACAGAGACGTTAAAGTAGCCTTTACCAATCTACTATCCTTCAGTTCTGCTGCGTCTTCAGCTCCATATGTTTCCCAGCCAGCAGGACCCAGACTGGGAGGCACCAGATTGGGAAAACCTGTTTTTAATAAGTAAGCAAGCAGCTAAGCCATACACTGAACTTGCTTTGGGTTAATAGGCCTCAAACTCAATGAAGGGCTTTGCTGGCTGGCAACTATCAGAGATAGGAATAAGCTTGCTGAGTCTCCCCAGAAAAGTTCAGCTTGGCTTCAGAACCCAAAATTTCAACCAAATGTGACATTAGAGCAACTAAGAGCCCTCCTACTGGGAAATGGGATAATCCACCATCTGCCAGTTTGCGAATTTTCTTGAGTAAGTTAAAAATTCCTGGCTTTTTTTCTGTTATCCCTGTATTTCCTACCACCCTATTATTTCCATGAGAATTACCAGCCAAGAAATGAGTAAAAAAGACCACCCCTCACTTTTTAAGGAATCTAGATGGAAGAACCTTAAAGCCAAGATGCAAGGTCCTTTTTTCAGGACTCTGCAATATAGTTCCTTGTGCTGTCCAAAGGGCAATTTTTCCTGGGCCTAACTGTGAGACAATCTCTGAAATCTGATGAGTGCGCTTCCACTGCAAGCAGACTTCTAAAATTATACACCCATTGTTCCAAATTCTCTCAGGCGACCTTGATCAGAGACCGGAATTTCAGGCAAAGGCATACAAAAGCTCACAAAATGCCTTTTCCGAAGCTGTAACACTTTCCTGGATTTATGTCCTAGCCTTGGTGTGTGGTTGAAACAATGAGTCAGCCATTTATGCCCATAAATAACATTAATAAATGATGGTCCATGGCTTGGGCAGAAGTGGAGAATCATATCTAAGGCTGCTCAAATAACCTCAATTCCTCTCTTTCTCTCTCTGTTTCTCTCTCTTCCCCACTCATCTCCAGAGGTGCTAATGCTGTGAGCCTATTAAACTGGTAGCCATGGAAACCCAAACCAAAGAAATGGAGGCAGGAGAGAAGTCCCCTGAGTCCAAGGACTTGCTGCCCAGCCAAACAGCCAGTACCTTGTGCATCAGTTCTCGGAGTGAGTCCGGCTGGAATACTCCTCCCCGGAACAAATGGGACATTTACCACAAACCAGTCATTGTGCTCTCAGTGGGCGGGGCAGTGTTCCTCTTTGGGATTGCCATTACTAGTCTGACTTGCCTCACCTTGGACAGAAACAACAGCACAACCAGCGCAAGCAACAACATGGGCAACAAAACCAGCAACATAACCAAGGAAGTGTTTAAGCTGTGTGGTCCAGCCTTCCTTTCCCTTGGCCTCATGATGCTTGTATGTGGGCTTGTCTGGATCCCCATCATCCGCAAGAAGCTGCGACAGAAGCAGAAATATCCCATCCTTCAGAGCATTAAGTCCTTCTTCCTCAACCGCTGAAGGTAGTCTCTCTTCGGTTTGGCCGCAAGGTCACTTGAGCAGGCTCAGTCCTTTTTGTTCCAATGTCCTGCAAGTAAAATCAACTCTGTTCTGAAGGTGAGATCACCATGCCCATTTCTCCCTTTTGTCTGTTTAGGATTAGCCTATTTTGGGGCAGAAGTCACCATGGCTATGCCTGGGCCATCCACTAGTGAATGAGTTTTCCTTTTCAACAAAAGGAGCATATCTTTCCATTGTCAAATCAAACCCCAAAACAGTTACTTTGGCTAAACTTGATTGTGCATTTAGCACACTGAATATTGCTTTGAATATTGGTTATACCTACTGACTCAAAGAGCTTCAAAGTGTACTGCCTTATATATTTTCGTAGAAGAAATGGCTTCTTTGGGGGCAAAACTGCTTGCAGAAAATAATTCTCAAATGTTGTCTTGTATGAATGGGTATAATAAATGGTTCATGGAAAAACCCATTCCACTGTGGGAGAAAATTTAGAGTTTAGAGACCGAAGACAAATGTTCTTAGAGTGGAAAGAGATATAGAAAACGCACTTGGAAAGTGATAGGCATACAAGTATATTGAACAAGGAGAATACTGGATCTTCTGTAAGGAAACTGGACCCTACTTGCAAAACCTGCCAAGTTATCTTTGCTAGGTAGGTAGTAATATCCTTTATTAGTCGGGGTGTTTTTTTTTCTTATTGGTGTTCTTTTTGTTTTGAAAGGGCAGACTAAGAAACTATATGGATCAGATATATTTCCATACACCATAAAATGAGCTGCAGACAAACTCCAATGAACAGAAAGCGATCCAAGGACAACTTGAAAAAAGTCATTAAATGAAAAGAACAAACTCTTTTAAAATTACGAACATGAAATCTATTTTTAAAATATACCTTGAACGGTTAGGATGTTTTCGATGTTTAGAACAGCTCTTTGTCCATATATTTTGCCCTTCGTCATCTGTTTGTGCTTGTGGTCGGGGAAAAAAAAAGAGTAACTGACAATGACATTTTCTCCAAGAGAAAATTGAAATGAAATATTTCATTCAGACTAAAACCAAGTAGCTCTTGAATGCTGAACTATATGCCCATTCCGAAGATCAGGAGTGCATTGGACTTGGCAAGCAGGAAGGCGAGAACGGGCTTAGGCTCCAGTTCAAAAACAGGAGAAATAAATGATCGGCACAAAGCGTCACACCAAAACGATCTCAGAGACTACTTCATAGAACACTGGATTGTGGGTTTGTAACTGTTATGCTGAAGAATGGTGAGGATATTAAGATGAAATAAATCAGAGATGAAACCCAGAGGCTTTGCATGTACTTCCTTAGAGAGAGTAATTTTTATAGCAATTTCCAGAGGTGGCCTTCTAATCTAGATCATGGTATTTCTCCCAGGTGATATGGAAGTGCCTCCTTCCAGGGATTTGTGGGCTTCTTCCCCTCTCAACCATTTATGTTTGCTTTAGGAGAATCAGACTAAGGACTGACCAGCATTTCCTACTTTCCCCAGTGCAAGCATGGAACCAAAGGGAAAGAAGTGATGAAATGAACCTCAGTCCACCTATACAAGTAGTCCTTGACTTACGACCGATCGTAGGTTGAGATGGTCATTAAGTGGGTCATCACATGAGCACGCCCACTTTTACAACCTGTTTTGCAGTAGTCATTAAGCAGTGTTTGTAAAGTGAATGCTGTGGTCATTAAGTGAACACCACAGTCATTAAGCGAATCCATTGTTCGCTATGGATGCAGTTTCATTGGAAATCTTAAGTGAACACCGGTTTCCAGAAAAAAAAATTAAATTGTGGTCATGTGACCACAGAATGCCACACATGGCCATAATGAGCACCCAAAATGTGATCAGGTGACTGCAGGGGGAGGGTTAAATTAAGCAACCAGTCATAAGTCGAGAACTACCTGTAGCTCCCTGGGAAGAAGTTTCCTTACTCAGCATTAGAAGTAGTGTTTCTTCACCTCTGCTGGCTGAAGCAGGACATCCACTACTTACGATGCACGTTGTTCTGTCTTACACAAGGGCCTGTGAGCCAGTTGTGTGCTCAGGTGGCTATAGTCCTTCAGTTCAGTCTCTTTGTTTTCTCTGCTACCTCCAAGGAAAGATCAGGCCTTTCCTTGTCCTTTCTAATTTGGTTGTAGAAATGCTGGCCATTCAACAGTTTTAATGGCAGAACCATCCTTTCTTTGTTTCCTTTCATTGCAAGGTGGTGTGTGTGTGTGTGTGTGTGTGTGTGTGTGTGTATGTGTGAAGAGAACTGCAAAGTTTCTCCCAAGTGATAGGAAGAACCATGAAACTGTTCACATTCCCACCACCAGCGCACACAGACAAACATACCTACAAAGACCAGCCTTCAAAATACAGTAGTGGCCAAAATTGTGGAAACCTTTTGGGAAAAGTGTATTTTTGATGGCTAATAACACCACTTTTGTTTGGAGTAGTACCATAAAATTATATATCAATGGAAAGATAATCAAGAATGTAATGCAACAAAGTTTGTTCAATTATCTGTACTGTATTCTATGAAAAGGTATAGCCAAATAACCAGAAAAAGGAAGCATAACTTGCTTAGGTTGATATCAGGTAGATTTCCTTCATCTGATTGTAGCCAATAAGCGTGAATGTTTAGAGAGCCAATCGGGTGTCATCTTGTTTTGGCAATGAGCCAATCAGATCACAGTAGGATTCAGTTTTGGATGTCATGTATTGAAGCTGAGAGGAGGACATTTGTCAGTGTGTTATGTGATTGCTATCAAGTTGGTTGGGTTTTTTTGTGTTCTTTCATTTAGTGAGCTTGTAAAATGTAATAAAATTAAAGTAATGGTGCAAAGAGTTGACTGGTTGCCCAGAAAGCGATGTAAAATAGTATTACTAAGTGAACAAGGCTACAGTTATAAAGAAATTAGAAGAAAAATTGGTGGAAACTTAACCAAAGGTGGCATTTCTACTGTACACTTTTCCCAAAAGGTTTCCACAATTTTGGCCACTACTGTACATGCTCCAAAGAAAAGCAATTGGTGCTTGCTTTTCTGGTATGGGTGTGTGGAGGAAAAAGCAGGGAAAGCCAATAATCAAGATATGCAGTATGGTAACCAGTATCTAAACAGAACACCAGGCCATCACTGTGGCCAAAGAGGAAAGAGCTGAAATCTGGTTTACGCTAGGAGACAAACCACTAAAGGCTGCAGCATCGAAAAGTCTAACAATTTTACTGGGGGTGTGTGTGTGTGAATTCTCTGGTAACTTGTTTGAATAATCATCCTGCATTTCTGGTCCACTTTATAAGAAGGAAATCCTGTTCTCTGAAATGCCACTTCTATTTTCCCCTCCCACCAACATCTGGTTTTCACTATGGTATCAACCATTCAGTTCTGACTTTCTCAAAATGGAGAGATGATATCAGTGGTGGGATTCATATATGTGAACAACTGGTTCTCTGTGTGGATGCCACTTCCGGAAGTCCATTCTGGGCCTGGGCAACAAAAAATTAGCTACTGCTTCTGCCGAACTGGTACGAACTGCCTGAATCCCACCACTGGATGATATACTTCGCTATAGCTGATGCCTTACTTCAACCCTTGCGACAGAACAGGGAAGCTTCTTATGTGAGTTGTGCTGTTCACACTTCCCATCACTATGGCCTGTGCCCCTTCTACCTGTTCTTCAGCTGTGGTGTGTAAATAAATGGCTTTGAAATCCCAAGTTAAGGTTTTGCGCTGTTTCTGGATGCAAATGGAAAATTAAGCCAAAGATGGGATATTTGATGTATTCAATAATCTGATATTTTGGACACTGGGATTTGTAAAAGGTGCATTCCTTGTTGCAGGACCCGGACAGTTATTCTTCACAACTGTTAAAAAAAAAAATGGTTACAATACAGCTCTGGGACCAAAAGGACAATTTTAAAAAGAAGTCAGAGGAGTTGTGTGTTTTGTGCTGGAATTTAAGGGTGTAGCAATCACTAGGAAAAGAAAAAGTAAATTTAAAAAAATCACAAAGTGATACAGGAGGCAGAATTATGTTTTGGGTCACAATGATCAAACTTAAAATTAATTGACATTTGGGACATACAAAAAAAATCATGTATTATGATGCACATGCCATCTGGAGGGGGATAATCAAATGTTTCCAGAACTGGAAAGTTATAATATCTCTGTAACATGGGCATAGCCTAAAAAAGAAAATGTTGTATGAACAGAGGTACATATTGTCATTATTACCTGAGGACAGAAGCAAAAAAAAATTGCAATTTCCAGTGCCAAATAGAAAAACTGAATTATGTGAGCAATTGATTCCCTGGAATAAAGGGATATTGTTGCAGCATCCGTGATTGTATAGTTTGTATGTCAGTTTATTTCAGAGACAAAACTGCTATCAAAAACAATATTTAATTCTTCAGTCAAAGCCATATTTACAATGAAATTCAAGGAAGTCCAATGAGTGATAAATGTTGGTTCAATTTATTCTATCCAAAGGTAGAAGCTTTACTTGCACATTGCCTTCAGGGTCCAAGAGGAGAAAATGGCAGGAGAGGGTCCTTCAAGTCACAAGATCCCCTAATACAATAACAAGAAAGTATTGTTCAGTATTTCTCTTATACTGTACAGCTGGTTCCTGCTAGCACAGTTGCCTCTGATGTCAGTATATTTCCCATAAAGTAAGAAAAGTGGAGACATTACTGTTGCGTCCTTGGCGGGAAAACAGACACGAGAAGCAGCTGGAGTTCTCAGGTTCTTTTATTCAGCGTTCAGCTTACAGGAAGATGGCTTCAGCTCAGCCCAAACGCCTCACAGCCTCTTATATAGGCAACTCCCGGGTAAATGGGTTACTTTTCCCGCGCCAGCACCCGCGCATGCGCACGGCGCTGGCGACAGCCTGTCTGGTCCCGGGCAGCTTTGCACCTGCCCGGGACTGCCTGCAAACGCCCGAGCCGTTTGCAAGGCTCGGGACATAACACCCCTTTCCCCCGGGCTAAAACTACTATCAACATACAACATTTATTTTACACGACAATTTGCTCCCCAGTGTTCCCACTGTTTACTGGCTTTTGTCTTGCCAACAATGTTATGTAATCTTCTAGGTACTTAGGAGATTTCTTTGCTCTCTGTGACCTTCTTAGCTCTGGGTTACTGGCATAAGTCCCCTGACTGGAGGGAGGCGTGAGCCTGTTCTCTCTACTGTGCCCTGGTGTCTTCCAAGGACTGTGCCCCGATGCCTGGCCTGCTTGCTTGCCCACCGGGCTCGTCAGGCCAGGGCTTCTGTTGCTTTGTGACCTGGTTGTCCTACCTAGCTGTAGACCCTCAGGCCCCTTGAAGTGATAGCCACTGCTGGGCGTCTCTGTAGAACCCCCTAGGTCAGTCCAAGACCTGTCAGGAGGCTGTCTATTCCCTGAACCCCATTCTGTGTTTGGGCTCGTGTGGGTTTCTGTACTCTCCCAAAACTCAGGTGTCCCCTGATTTGTGCTAGGGATGTTGTAGTCGGGACTTGGTTCCTCGACTAGCTCTGTGTATGTTTGACCCCCTGTAGGATTTGGGGTAAGGTCAGGCCAACCTTGGGCATTGTGTGCCAGCTCTCTTGCGGGGAATGATTTGTTGGGATGCCCCCGGGTATCCTCCGTTGCTGGAGTGCTGTGTGCTGTGTGTGGAAAGTGAGTATGCCCCCGGGGTAACTCCCTGGCTGGAGTAGGCGTGAGTGCCTGTTGTGTGGGTAAGCTCCAAGACTTCCTTTTCGGAGCAATTGCAGAACCTTGGGACGAGCCGTTTGTGGCTCCCTCAGTGGCGATGGGCAGTAGCTCTTGCCCTTCCCTTTGCTCCAAAGGGTCCCCCTCCCCCCCTGGAAAAGACCCAGGAGTTTCAGCAGAAAAGTCCCGCCTAGAGCGGAGTTGGTCGATGTGCCGACGCAGGACACGACCGTTGTCCAGGGCAACCTCGTAGGAGAGAGGACCTGTGATCCTGGACACAGAAGCGGGGACCCATGTATGACCAGGCCCGTAATTGCGAGCCCAAACCGGGGCACCCACAAGTAGTTGTCTAGGTGCCCTAGGATGTGAGGTAGATGAAGGCAGTCTGTCCGGATGCAACCGGTCAAGTCTCGTAGTAAGTTGGCGCCCCCAACGAAGTTCAGCTGGACTTCTCCCTGTAGAAGTGGACGGTGTGGTGCGATAAGAAAGGAGAAAGTCAGCCAACCTGTGATGCCAGTCCCCGTAGGTGAGTCTCTTCAAGGCGTCCTTTGCGATGCGCACCATGCGTTCAGCCATACCGTTGGTGGATGGGTGAAAAGGCGCAGATGTGGC